TCAAGTCATTGAACGTCAGACAACAAAGAACATCGGCTCTAGATTAAATGTTGCTCTGATCCCTCTTAACACAGTTTAAAAGCAAAACTTGAAAGGATAGAACTGATTCTAAGTAAGTTCATTATGCCCCCAAATGGAGTTCTCGAACATTCATGAGAACACAGAAGTGCCCAGCATCGAATGAGGTAAAAAGTTCATAATGTCCGCTATCCAATAAAAATTACCAGATGTGCCAAGAGGCAGGAAAATGTTACCCAGAATGAGGAAGAAAAGAAGTAAATTGAAGCCAACCCAGAAATGGACAGAATTAGTACACAATACAAGGAGATTAAAAGCTGTCGTAACCGCATTTCGTATGTTCAAGAAGCTGGAGCAAAGAGCGAACATGCTGAGTACGGACATAAAAGATATAAGATCCGAATCAAACTTCTAGAGAACAACATCCACTGGCTAAAGAAAGAGTAGACAGCACAGAAAAAAGGCTTAGTGAACTAGAAACATAGCAATAGAAACTATCCAAAGTGAAACACAGAGATAAAAGTTCGTCTTTGGGACTATGATCTCTGGGGCGATTTCAAATGGCCTCATAAATGTTCACTGGACTCCTTGAAGGAGAGGAGAAGACAGGAAAGAAAAACATTTAAAGAAATAATGGATGATAAATTTCTAACTCCTATCCAAATTATAAACTCAAACCTTCAAGAAATTAAATGAACCTGGTGTGAATCCGTGTGCACGCACACGCACGCACACGCATAACATAAAAACTGCACCATGGCACATCATGATCAGATTGCACAAAACTGGTAATAAAGAGAAAACTTTAGAACCAGCCAGAGTAAAAATGATATATTATGTATAGGGGACAAAGATAAGGATGGCAGATTTCTCATCGGAAATAATTCAAGTTAGAAACAGTGAAGCAACATCTTTAAAACACTAAAAGAAAAAACCTTATCCATTTAAATTATATACTCAGCAAAAATCTTTAAAAATTGGCAAAATAAAGACTTTCTTAGACATGCAGATGCTGAAAGCATTCTGCACCAGTAGGACCTGTACTCCTGGGACTGTTAAGGTCCGTGTCCCCAGGCAGGCAAGGTGCCACATGGACACTTGGGTCTTCAAGAGAAGTGAAAAGCGTCAGAAATGGAAACATATATGGGTTACTATGACAACTTTGTTTCTATTAATGACATTTCTTAAAAAATTTAATTGACTATTTAAAGCGAAAATAATATCAATGTATTATGGGGCTTATACCCCACGCAGAAGGGAAATGTAGGATGACCATAGCGCAAAGACTGGACAAGGAGAAAGGGAACCATAGGCTGCCAGTTCTAAACTATATGCACAGTGGTGTGGTGTCACTTGAAGGTAGGCTAGGATAAGGTGAAGGTGTACACTGTCAACCCTAAAGCAACCACGAAAATACTACAACGAAGTTACAGCTAATAAGCCAACGAAGGAGATGAAAAAGGCCATAAAAAGTTAATCCAAAAGAAAGATGAAAAAGAGCGAATAGGGACCACAGAACGGGCAGGATGAGTGGAAAATGAATAATAAGATGGTAGATTTAAATGCGATCATGGTCAACGATGACATTGAATTTAAATGATTTAAATACCTGGATTGAAAAGCAGACGCTGTCAGTTTGGATTTTAAAAATCAGTGCCCAAATATACAAGAAATGCACTTTAAATAGAATGACACAAATAGCTTACAAGTAAAAGAGAGAAAAGAACACGCCATGCCAAAACTCGTCAGAAGAAAGCTGGAGTGGTTAGATTACTACAATCAAGGTAGATTCCCCAGTAGATGAAGAAGCTCATTTTATAAATGATATAGAGGTCAACGAACCCATCTTGTACCCTTCTGCACCTGATATCAGAGTATTAAACCATGCGAAGCAAAAACTGATAGAAATTAAAAGAGACAAATAGACAATTACGGTTCTTCCTTCCTCCCTCCCTTTCTTCCTTGGTCACAGAGCCATCGGGTAGACCCCACGAGGTGGGGTATCACCTTGAGTGTGGAAGGCGGGCCGGGGTGGGTGGAGACTGGTTAATACAAGGAGGCTGAGGTGACAGGGCCTCGGTTCTCACCGGCGGAGAGGGAGGCATAACCGTGGAGGACCATGAACGGATAGGCTGGGATTGGGGCTACTGGTGTGAACTCACGGATTCCCACGGCTAGAGACAGATCTAAGCAACTCAGAAATAAACCCAGGGGCACGTGTCCTTCCCTTTAAGCCCACCCACCGAAGGGCCCGGCAGCACGCTTCGTGCCCAGACCGCGGTTTCTCAACCATATTCTCCACTGAAAGGGACCAGATTCCTTGAGGAAGTGGCTGACCTCAGGGCTCTGGAAAGGAAAGAACAAGATGAGCCTGGAACATCTCGTTGTGTAAGAAAATGAGAAAATACTCAAAGAGAGAAGGGGACATGTCAAAGGTCAGAGAAGCCAGTTGGATGATCCCACTAGGATGATCTGAGCATCAAAACTTAAAAAAATGATGGCAACAGATTATTACCCATTGACTAGAACAGGAATCCAGGAATCTGGAACGCACAAAGAAATATCTAAATTAATAAGACGAACAGAACATTCTGTCTTGCAGTGAAAAGCCCACAAATAAGTGAAGGATTGGAGGTATGAGGAAACCTCCATTTGGCAATGACCATAAAAATAAATCAGGCAAGAAACATAGAAATCAAAAGAGAAGGAGACGAATAGACCCTTAGAGTCCTCCCTTCCTCCCAGATGCTAAAATTAGTGGGTAAAATTGAGATGAGAAATGGATTTTGCATAATCTCAAAATATCTCCCCACAAAATATTTATCAGCTACATCGAGGGAAGAGCATAGTGGAGAAATGTGACAGAAATGATCTTAGTTAAGTGATTAAAATGAGCACCGTCAGTAACAGGACAAACAGGAGTTGAAAGCCACCCAAAAGATAAAGGGAAAAGAATGTCGTCTGCGATACTCTGGCGCAAAATGTGGGTCTCATCACGAGGAGACGCCGTACGAACTCCAGTTAAGGGACACTCTCTCTGTGAGGTGACTGCTCCGTAATCCTCAAAATGATCAAGGCCACGAAAGTCACAGAAAGACGGAGAACATTCCAGATGGAGGGAGACGGCAGATTCCTGGGCTGAGAACGGGGGTGCGTGTGCGGAGGGACACGGGGACAAGGCGAGTGAAGAGTCTGGGAGGAAAACCAGCCGTCTCCATGCTGCAGGAAGCGCTCACCGCTCGCTGCACTACGAAACGAGTAAGGCTTAGGACCGCCAGCCGATGAGACTGTCCGTCTAGACGACGCGCCACCCCGGGTGACCCACAGCGATTCCGGAGGCATGGGAGCGCAGGATGCCGACACCAAGAACGGCCACTGGGGCTCCCGTTCCCCCTCCAGCTTCCCGAGCCCGCCCCCAAATCAGACCACGCTCTGGGTCTGTCACTGAGCAGCGGAGCCAGAGCTGGGCGGTACATGCAAATATCCAGGTTTCTCTCTATTCGTAGTTGAGGATGCGTGGGCTGGTTGTCGCTGGCCTCTGACAAGGTTCCTGTGCTGTATTTACTCATCAAATGCTTCCGCGGCCCCTTTCCTGTGCTGGGCCCCAGAAACGCAAGGCTGGGAGACAGCCCCGCCCGCGGGCCCCTCCTGGTCCTATGGGAGACCAAACACGGGCAGGATGGCAGGGAGGAGTGGCAGGGCTATGACAGGGCTTTGTGGGAACGCTTAGGCGGGGCCCCGGGGAGCAGGTGCATAGGAGTTGGGAAGCATCTCCTGGAAGAAACGAGGCGACCACACTAAGTGGGACCTAAGACACTCAGCTGGAGAAACGCCAGCCTGCGTGACTGTGAGGTCAACAGACAGACTGGGAGCCCATGGCAGAGGACGGGGCCCAGGCAGACGGTGACACCAGAACGCACTGGCGGGGCTGCACTGTGCTTCCTCTTCAAAGGGCTTCTCTGCAGGCAGGGGAGTCGTCTGCTCAGACGCATGCCTTGGGCAGAGAATGCCTGCCACCCAGCCCCGCCGCTCCTAAGAGCTGACAGTCACAGCCAAGAGTTAGCCGCTGGCTGGGGGAAAAAACTACATGCTGGACATGTGGTTTTGCCACCGTTTAGAGTGTGTGCCTGAGACCGAAGAGGACACAACAGGACTGGGACACCCCAAACCCCGAAAAGCCTGTTGGTACTAAGAAGGGCGGATCGAAGTTTTCAAAACCAAGTATTTGGTGGCAAACGGAATAGGAGGGCTAAAGGAGATTAAAATAACGATCGTGCTATTTATTCCCAGTGCAGTGTTCAAGAAACTGTTAGCCAGAGGTTCCCGGGGAGACTAGTTTAGAGGTCAGGGAAGGAACGCGCAGCCCCCGAAAGGCCCGGGCAAGCCCAAGGCGGACTGAACCGGAGTTGGCCGACCCGGTCCGCCTGTCCCTCTCCACCGCCACCCTGGTGGGGATGATCGGAAATACCTACGGCTCCACGCCTCACTCTCCAGGGCAAGCTAACACACCGCCACCGCGGGACCGGTAACTCACCCGTGTCACAGGAGGCCACCATAATCCGGGTAACACAACCCGGTGTCATAGAAGTGCCTCATTAGAATGAAAAAGATGCCACAACATGGACGCTTTCCAGTTATGGAACGGAGCTGGTCCATTGACTGCTACGCTAAAATGTCAATGCAGGGTGCTCGACGACTTGACGCTTTTACCCCCACAATCATTTAAAAAATACTAATTTGAACAGAAAAAGGTGGATCGCCAGGTGGCTGCTTACGTGCTTTTGGCTGCCTGTGGCGCCCGAATAAGCGAAGCTTTGTGCAGACTCAATGCTACAAGACGGGCTGCGGGGGGCGTGAGCCCGCAGTGCAGTGCGCGGTGCTGTCACGTCAGCCAAGGAGCAGAGCTCCCCGTTCACTTCCGGCACTGCGAACGCCCGTAATCGTTACTGCCAAAGTCCGAGACACACCAATGACACCAGAACTCAAAACAAAATACAGTACAAATTTATTGACTCCAATCATTCTTAGTTGAGATTTAAGCAAAGTAAACAGACAACAGAATTGGATACAAATAAGCAATGGATTAACATCAGATAGAAATCCTATTTTACTATAAATTTTCAATCCAAAAAAGCTTATTCCTAAATAAAACTGAACCATGGTTTACTCTGCTAAGGCATAGGACGACAAAATATACACAATTATAAAACCACATCGGTTTTTCTTTTAACAATAAGCCTTTACTTAATGAAAATTCTGAAATAGTCTTGGATTAACGTCAGTAAGAAACGATCACCTTTTGAAAATCAGCGTTCACCAAGAATGTGTGTGAAAACCTGACGGCACCCGCACGACTAAAGAGCGGTGAATTCGATCGGTTTAAAGATTTGCTGTAAAAGACTTTGGTTCCCAAATGACTGTCTCTAAAAGAAAAATTTTAAGAACCTGACATTAACTCATTTTCTCCTCCCAAATCTAAACGCCGACTGGTCAGTCTTCCCCTTGGTCACGTGGCAATGCCGCACGGAGAACACGCTGAGCAGCACTGACCCAGCGTATTAGAACTCAGGCAAACATTCAACTCCTTAAAGTGCTAAAGCCACAAGAGAAACACCTGTTTTTAAAACTTAAGAATGCCAGTGTTAAAGAACTTATTAAAAAACATGTGCTAGCATTATTCAAATCAATAATGCCTTTTACAATTATTGCAAAAAACGTCAGAGACATCAGAAATGGATAAAACTGAATTGTAATATTCCAATACTAATTAGTGCAATTTATAAAGAAACCTGTTATGAATATCTATTTTTATAGTAAGAAAATTCAATTTTACTTCCTAGAGTCCCAGATTATGGTTGTTCACACGCATGCACACACACACACGCGCACGCACACAAATTTGACAGAACGAAGGCTCACTTTCCATCAGTTAGTTCTCGTCTCTCCCTCACCCTGTCCGGTTGGCCTGAGGATAAACATACCCTTGCTGCCACCAAGGAGCACGCTTTACCCGTGCCTTGGTTTCCATCCTCAGCACCGACGACGGTGTGTGTGGACTGGGCTGTCACCGACGACATGCCGGGCACATTTTTAAAGAGAAGGCTATAACCACCATTCCAAATCAGAAAACCAAGAACCACTCACATCTCCCCACAGTGCACATGACATCACTGTTGAATTGTTAGTTGTGAATTCTGTTAAAATTATAAATGCATACTAACCATAACCAGTTTTAAAGGTAAATATTCTATGAATCTTGAAATATTACTATAAAAAACGTACAGTATGTTACCTCCATTGCTTACCTTGATAATAACACATTTTACGGTGTTCCTCCCTTCCCCACACGAAAAAAAAAAAAAAGATTCAGTAACAGGTTCTCGGAATAACAAAGAATATATTAAAACATCTCATTCTTTCCAGAATTGCATACGAAAAGTAGGCATCCTGAATACTTACAAGGAATAATGAACTTGCTACAGATTTTCAAAAATTACAATCATTAAAAACTTTTCATCTGCTAGCTAAAGAGCTGCGACAATGTGAGACCAAGCTGTCCCACACCACGTATCTGCTAAGATAGACATTCTTAAAAAACTTGTTCACTGAATAAAGCAATTAACATCTTCCATTATTTCACTTAACGTTTAAAATACTTACGTGAGTGGAAGCATATTTTATTTTTTGACCACCAAAATAAACTCTTTGAGCCTAATGCTTTCAAGGTACAGTATAAAAAGTAATAGAAAAACCAGAACTGCATTATAAATGTTTTTGGTTCAAAATTTTATTTGAAATCTTATGTTCCTTGCCTAGACAAAAACGTGAACAAGACAAAACACTGGCAATTTTTAAAATCTAAGAGATAGGCAGAGCCTACATTTAGATAAAAAATATTCTTGTACTGATTAACATTATTAAAAATCCTCAAAAATGTAGCATAAAGGTTCAAGTTCTGGCATATTGAAATTTCCAATGCCAAGATACTGTGTGTACCATGAACTTATTACACATGCTCCAACAGCCGGAAGCAACGGTTCCTCTGAGGGAAAGTGTCTCCTGACATGACAGCCACCGAGGTGCTGGGGTGAGAAACACTATGCAGGGAACGAACTCAGCGGACGACAACCCACCCTACCATTTCGCGCCGAGTCGTATGCTTTAGTTTTGCCTTTAAAATGCATAGATTTCTTCAAGGAAATGTAAAGCTGACAACAACCATTTACTGTAACTTAATTTTATTTTACTTTCTCCATCAAATTTAAGTAAGAACGGAAACAAGAAGTAACCACTCAAATATTTTGGGACTTTTGATGGTTTTCGAATGAAAAAGGCAAAACTTCTCAGGTAATTTCTCTAACGTACAAAGTCAATTAGTATTTTACAAGAATGCTGGTTTCAGGAAAAGAACGCCTTTCCTACCAGTGGTAACGAGACCAATGAGCATGGTTCTTTGCTGCTGGAGCACAAATTTGACTACTCAGCAAATTATTTCTTAGTCACGGCAGTTGCCTTCTTAATTTGAAAGGATATCTTGTAAAAAGTTAATAAACTTGGAGTCTTAATCCATACCACTACCTTAAAGGGATTTTGTAGTTTGTGCAATTTTCCTTTTAGATATCTAACCTCTGCCCCAACTGTGAAGTACAAATTTTCCCTTTTGAAACAGCCCCTTGCACTTTAGATGACACCTACTAAAAGGCTTTTAATTAAAACTTATACAAAATAGAAAGAAGGAAAAAAGCCAAACCCCAGGGGCCAAAATAAGTAGGAAAACAAACTTTGGACCCTTGACAGTGCTTTCACACCTACGTGTGAAATGCTAAGCGGTGACTTAAAGCAGAATGGATGCTTTACCAGGAAAAACTCCAACAAATTCTAACGGAACACATCACAGGACAAAGAGGCAGGAAATCCTATTTGTAAATCTTATTCTTGAAAAGCAAGGGGAGGCTGCACGGCTCCCAGTCTCTGGAAGGGGAATGGTAATTTGGGGTTCGGAGCAGCTGTGCTGACTCCGACCTACGTAAATGGACGTCCCGGCCTCATTTGCTGTATGTACCGATGTTGCTAAATTCAACATTAGTGCCACGTCATCTCTGTCAAACGCACTCAGACTTTCAACCTGTGGCAGCGTGAGCCAGAGGAAACCAAACACTCACAGTCCTTCGAATGCTGGTCCGAGCTTAGAACTGTGATGTGTGTATACGTGGCACAGGGTGGCCGTTTGGATGACAGTGTCTATCGCTACTGAAGTTTCTGTGAACTCACTTTAGAGGCCTTCCAGAAACCTCACTATGTTCACTTCTCAAGTCTTCCATCAATAATTATACTAAATGACCCAAGAGCAAATTTTATTTTATAAAAATCTAAGTATTACTATTGCTGATTTAAATTTCTCACAATTTTCATACAAAAAAAAAGTTCTAGGTGACCACAAAATGCCAAGAATTTTTATCAAGTGTCAGGATAAACTTATTAAAGTTGAGGTTTATCATTTTTTTTTCTTTTTTTATTGCTAAAGTAGAAGATTTAATACTGCAAACTATTAGACTGCTTCCTGATCCACTGTGGACTTAAGAACATGGCTAAGATGTAACTAGGACTTAGATGTCTGACGTAATCAAAAGAAGAAATCCTTGAATGGTTGTTTCGCTAACTGCAAATCAGTAAGAAACACAAAACCCCAAGTAAAAGATTATACTGACACCGCAGACCGGGGAGCCAGCGGACGGCCAGGCTCAAATTTCAACCTTGATGAAGTCGAATTCTCCTGCGACTATAAGGCCCAGAAGCACAGAATTTTTTGAATTTTTTACAGTTTTCCTAAATTGAGCAAGGACATCGCTAATTAATATCAGTTTACCTCAAACTTATATTCAAGCGTAACAATTTCCAACCTTTATTATTCTTTTGTAAGAAAACATTCTGTTTCTGGAGACCGCCCCTGCATTCCGTAATGGGAACGGGTGGTCGTCAGTTGTGAGTTTGCTCATGACTCCAAAGACTGAACGCGGTCTTGAATGTCCTGTGGCAAAGTGTGCACATGAACTGTCTTTTAAACGTGATGGCGGACAGGGGCGGGGCGTGGTGGAAGAGTGTGTCCGACTCCTGGGGCACAAACAGTTTCTCCGGGGCGGGAGCCGAGTTCTCGGACAACCCCGTGGGACTGTCGGGCTCCAGGGGCTGGATCTTGGGCAGCGGCGGGGGCGGAGGCAGGGGTGGCGGCGACGGAGAGTTTGCGGGGACCGGGCACACTTCGGGTTCCTTGTGCGCCGGGTCCTCTGCGGCCTGAGACGTGTGGGACTGGAAGTGGCTCCAGAGCCGGAAGTTGGTGCGGAAGGCCTTGTTGCACACGTGGCAGATGAAGGGCTTCACGGAGCACAGCAGCTCCTGGTGCCGCTCCAGCTGCCTGTGCGCGGGGAAGGCCTTGCCACACTTCTCGCAGGGCCACAGCCCGGGGTCCTGGCTCGGGGCCGCCGCCCCCGCCTGGGGGGCCGCGCCGACCTCGGGCGCCTCGCCCTCGGCCTCCCCCACGGGCTCCTCCTTGACCAGGATCTTCAGCTGCTTGGACAGGCTGAGGTCCTCGGGGAGACAGGAGGAGTCCTCCGAGTCGAAGTTCACTTGCTCGGAGCAGTCGCTGAACGCGCCGTCGTCTTTGGCCGTGGCCACGTGGTTGGCTCTCGGAGGCTCGGGCTGGGCCGGGGGCCGGGGGGCGCCGGTGGCCTCGCCGTTGTGGTCGGCGCCGGGCAAGGACAGGTTCTCGGCGGGCGCCATGGTGTTCTGATTGTGGACCTCGACCTGGTGCCGCCAGATGCTGAAGGAGGACTTGAAGGTGCGCATGCACTCGAGGCACGTCAGCTTCCTGTACTCACACGTGCTCTCGTGCTCGCGCTTGAGCTCGGGCGAAAAGAGCCTGAGGCTGCAGTACGGGCACACGGTCGCGCTGCGGCACAGGCGCTCGTGGCTTCCTTGCTCTAGGAGAGAAGAGAGCTTAGCGTTACAGAGGCGGCACTGGAAAACCTCCGTGGCCTCCGCCGGGCCGAGCGCCGCGGGCTCCCTGGGCTTGGCGGCTCGGGGTCCTCCGAGGGGCTTCTCGCCCGGGTGCATCTTTATGTGCTGTTTGAACTGCGAGAGAAAGCGATAGGCCTTTCCACAGTAAGTGCACACGTACGCTCCTTTGGCTCGCGATCTCAAGTTCCTCTTGATGGCTTTTTTTTTCCGCTCTGTCCCTGAAACCCAGGCTTGCTGCGCCTCAGCTTAATAAACAGGGCCTTCTTAATCTCTCTCTCTCGCACTATGTCAATCAGCTTTCTTTGGAATTTCTCATCCAAAACGGCATGTGAACTAGAGGCGGGTGATGGATTCTTCACTATGCCGTGCTGGGTCTGACAGTGGGTCCACACTTTGAAGTTTGTGTGGAACCGCTTGTGACAGATGTCACAGGCATAGGGCTTTTCGGGGTTATGGTACATGTTAGCGTGCCGGTGCAGACCTGCTGTCGATCTAAAGATCTTAAGGCAATGTTTGCATTTAAATTTTTTGTTTGGTCTTGTTCCCTCCAACTCACCGAACTCATCTTTGTTCGAGTCGGACTGCGGGGAGTCCGCGCCGAGCAGCGCGGGGCCCGGGCCGCCCTGGAGGCCGTCCTCCGGCGCGGGGTGGCCGGGCGCGTCCACCTTCAGCTTCTTGGGCGGCAGCCTGCGGTCCGCCTGGAAGCGCCTCTTCGCCGGGAGTCGGCTCATGTCTTTCTGGTCGTCCTCCATCTTCAGGGAAAGGTCTCTGGTGCCGGAGGCCGCCGCCGTGGCGTCCCCCACGGTGACGCGGATGATGTCGGAGGGGTCGGCCAGCGGGCTGCGGGGCTCCGTCTTGATCCGAGCCTCGGTGCCATCCCTCCCTAGGGACTGGGAAGCGCTGAAGGACCTGAGGCGGTGTGGCGGGGCGGCGGGAGGCCGCTCGTCCAGGGCCAGCTTGTCACCGCCGTCTTTCAAAGACGACTTCTGAGACAAAGCACAAAACACGTTCCCCGGAGTGTCGCCTGGCACCGAGGACAAGCCCTGGGAAGACCTCGGCTCCACCGAGGGTGAGCAGGCGGGGACCTGGCTGTCCATTGACAGGGACCGCCGGAGGAGGCTCTTGACGAGCGGGCCGCTCCTGTCGATGCTCTGGTTCGCCGTGGCGGACCCGCCGGACGGGATGACCAGGCCCAGCCTCGAGTAGTACAGCAGGTTCCGGTCCTCGCCCGGAATGCTGCCCCTGCTCGTTTCTTTCAACAGGTAGGGTGTCTCCGAGGAGCTTCGGAGAGATAAGACGGGCGGCCGCGGCCTTTTCAGAGCCAGCTCGATAGCCTTCCCTTTGGGAAGCTGGCCGCTGCCGCCCGGCTTCTCGTCCGCCGCCTCTCTGTCCTGCAGAGGCGTGGAAGGCAGTGCTGCGGTCCTTCTCACCAGGATGCTTCTGCTGGGGTCCTCCAGGGACCCAGAACGCTCGAGAGACTTCGCGTAGCCCACAGAAGCGTCTCGGGGCCAACTTTTTTCAGCCGATGACAAGCTGTGAAGCGGTTCGGTGGCTTTTGGAACATGGGGCTTGCCGGCATTGGCCTTGACCGCGATGCTAGGGGAGAGCCGGGGACTGTGGCTCGCGTCGGGCGGGTTTTGACTAACAGTTTTCCCTTGTGCTTCGTTTTTACTCTGACAGACAATGACACTTCTCTTTTGAGAGCTGTTTTCATCATGTTCTATGAATACTGTTTTTCTGTTGGGACACACCGGAAACGGGGCCTGAGGGGTTTTAGAGACGATGTTGGTCAGAAAGGAAATCCCCAGGCTATAGCCCAGCTCTTGGACCGCAGCAAGGCTGCCTTTCTCCACAAACAAAGACGAAGAATAAATGTAGTTCAAAACGTTATCGAAAGCATCTGGTTCACAAAAGTCAAGCTGAAATACAGTTTGTGACTCATTCTCCTTATTTGTGAATAAACTCTGAAAGTATTCACTGCTGGCAGCCAAGACATTTTTATGAGCTCGAAATTTCTGGTCTCCAACAATCAGAAGAACGTCACACAACTGTCCTTTGAGGCGCTCCTCGTTGAGAGCACTCAGGAGAGAAATGGCATGTGCTGGGTTGATGTAGTGCAGCAATCCCTCCATTGCTGGGCTTACCTGAAAGATAAAGTGTAAAACTTTATGAATGATGCGATGAAAAGTTCTCCGCCAGACGAAACACTTGTCAAGGGCAGGGACAGCTGTCTTCCCATAGATGCCAACATTTAGCAGATCGTAGGCACCAAAGAGTTGTTTAGATGAATGATCTTATTTAAATAACATGGAAAATGTGAGGAAACAAGTCTCATGGCCTAAGTAGATCACCAATCATTAAAATTCAGGAATTTTAGGAACTTACTTTAACATTGGCATTTTTGTACCATTAAAAAGGCTGTTAGAACTGGGCAGGTACGTAAGGTAGCAATATTTGAAAATAATGGTTCATTATTAGGGTCCTTATCCATTTGATGCTTGCTTCTATTCTTATTAGTTCAAAAAATAAGTACGAAGTATTGAAATGCCTTAAGTCTCTGATTCTGAAAGGAAATTTGTTTCAGTACTGAGTAAGGGTTCAAAATGAGCACCCCAAGATGCGCCTCTGAAATATGCAAATTATTTTGAGCTAAAGGCAACCGAGACCCTGCTCGCTCAAGGGGAACGTCTGCCCCCGCCCCCGCAACCGGGAGGAAGTGAATGGGGGGCCCTGCCCACAGTGAGATCATCAGAGAGCCTTTTTTGACCTGTCCGTAGGGCAGACAAACTGCTGATTGCTAGACCGTGGCTCTTCTTACTGTCCTGCAGTGACCCTGTGATGCCCCGAGGCTCCTTGCCTCCTCCTTAGCTCAGAATGTCACATGCCCCTCCCTTCCTGTCTCTGAACCCCTCCTCGTGCATGCGGGGTTCCCATATGTACTATGCAATTAAATGAACCCGTCTCACGTAAACCAGCAGGAAGCACCTAGGAGGGGAGAGGAAAGTTTCTTCCTTCCCTACAACAAAGTATTTACTTGCAACGTGAATTGTTAACAAAGGGTTACAAAGGCGTCTCTCCAGACCTTTAAAACCAGGTACAGATTTGGAAAGTGAAGTATCATTTACTAATTACTATTGTATCCAAGTCTCTAACAAAGGCTAGAAATGTTAAAGAATAAAAGCTTGTTTTCTTTCTTATGTTAAACACCTTGCAGTCTCCTGAATTATTTTCCTACCAAATCACATGTTCAACAAGAACACAAAGGAAACCGGCCTGTGTCTAAACGTCATTATCACTAATTCTCAATCACGGGGTTTGAGTTGAGACGTCACCGGAATTGTCCTCCTACCTCAAGGCGGGACAGGAAGACCTAGCGGCTGGGTGTGGGCTCTGCCCAGACACTGGGCCTGAAGTGCTGGCTCCTCTCTGCTGTCTGTGAGCCCCCCACACCCCGCCGCGGGAACCGGGAGCAGCGGCTCTGCCCTCCTGCACGGCTGCTGCAAAGATGAGGTGAGCTAGCATCTCATACACAGTCAAGACTCGACGAATGTGCAATTCACTTTCAGAAACTGCAAGATTAATGGGCATTTGATTCAGTATTAAAGGGCCCCGATTAACCCGCCCCAGCCCTCGACGAGGAGAAAGCCGCTTCCCAGAGACGGCGCGGGACTGCAACTCTGGGCCTTCGCTTAGGCTTCTGTTACTGTGATGCTCATCTCTCCGTTTGATTTTATAAGAACTGTCTTTCCTTTCAAAGACTTGTGACATTTATTTTGACTACTAAAATGGGTTCCCAGTAACTAAGACTATCTGTGACGGTTTCGCCTCTCTCTCGGGGGCAGGCTGCGGATGTACCCGACCCAGCACCTGAACCCAGCACTGCAGGTTCTCCTCCCGCCTCGAAGGATCAGGCTCTGCAGGTAAACCTGCATCCGGGTTCCTCGGAAGGGTCTGGTAGGCCACCAACCCGAGTGACCACGCATTGTATACAACTTCCTTAACATCGGTCCGACTCCCTGCTGCCATGCGGACTCGATTCAGCTGACTTGGGGCAGGGCTCTGCTCCCAGGGACGATGCCTGCAGCCTGTCTGCAAACGACCGCTTGGTCAGACTGTGCCAGCCCGTTCCCTCCTCTACCATCGTTTCATGTTTCGTATGGGTGGTAAATTTTAATTACTCTATTTGTGATTAAGGTATTTTCCTTTCCTTTTGCCTTTCTGTGAGCCATCTTAATTTCTTCCTCAATCCTACTGTGCAGTCTTTATAGTCACGCATCTCCTTAAGTGCAAAGAAACCCTTATCATCTTTTACAGAGGTCAGCAAGCCTATAACGCCACACTTATCAACTCAGCCATGTACCGAACAGTTTTTATGCTAATAATTCTTGAGAAAGCCAGTTCAGATGCTGCCACAGTGAAAAGCAACAGATGCAGAACCAAAAGCTTGGACAAGTATTTTTCAAAGAGGTTTCTTAGAATCAATTTAGTGGTTTGAAACTAGCAACAAAAAAAATGAGTAGGGCAGAGTGAAAAAATGTCGGACTGTCTCAAATGTAGTAAGGCTAATAACTGGGACCTAGTGAAGCTTTTGATTCGCTTCTGTGCATTCACATCCACACATGGAAGCAAGTACTGGGCTGGGGTGTACAACACACTCCTGCCTGCCTGCGGGTCAGTCAAGGGGGTTGGCAAGGCAGCTCTGGGCTCGTTGAGCTCTGAGCCTGTTGGCCCCACTGCACCGGGTGTACAACACACTCCTGCCTGCCTGCGGGTCAGAGTCAAGGGGGTTGGCAAGGCAGCTCTGGGCTCGTCGAGCTCTGAGCCTGTTGGCCCCACTGCACTGTAAGGATAACAGCAGCTCCCGAAATGCTGCTGTGAGACTGAATGAGAAGACAGTAACTGTCACCATTTTCATTCAGCACCTGCAACACCTTACGGATTGTACCAGGAACTTCACGTGTCACTTGTTCATTCACCCCTCCCACAGGATGGCATCTGAGGAGGCTCGGAGCAGGCGAGGAGCCATGAGGGTCCGTGAGGGAAGAGCCCGGGTCAGCAGCAGTGCTGGAGCAGAGGCGAGGGAGCGGCAGGACACGGCCCTGCAGAAGCCTGAGGAGAGGCTGGGCAGGGCTGGGGGGACGCACGAGAAACCGAACTTTTTACCAGGAGAGAAAAGGGCAGCCATTGGAAGATTCTGAGCAGAAGAATAACAAAAATCTGAATTATCTTCCAGAAGGACTGCTCTGGCTACGTTGCTGAGAATGGACTGTGACAAGTAGGGAGAGGGTGGAAGCTCGGAGGCCAGGTAGGTGCCCACTGCGGTGATGCAGGCGAGACACGATGGTGCCTGGACCAAGGTGGTAGCGGTGAGGATAAAGGCAGCCCTCAGGATGTATGACGGCGACTGCAGAGGGTAAGGTGAGGAGTTAGGATGTCTCCAAGGGTGCCTTCACTTGAAACGAAATTTGATAGAAAAATCAGTTCAGATTTTTTTCAGGGACGCAGTTTCGATATTCTAAATGTTAGCGGAAACCCATTCATGAATGCACCCTCGGGGGCACCCTGTCCTGCTTGACGTTACTTACAACCTTTCTGTGCTTCTTGGGATCATTTCCCAAATAAACATCTGCCTCTTCATCCTTGTCTCAGGGTCTGCCTTTGGAGGACCTAAACTAAGACACCAAGGGAACTTGAAACCATAGGTACAGGCTAAGGAACTGTGTGAGGCCTAGACCAACGGAGATTTCCCACGTTCCTGGACACGAGCACATGCTATCCCACACGCCATCCGCATCCCATTCCCACGTGCTAAAAGTCAACGCTTCTCACTGCTCATTCTCCAGAAGGGTTTCCTTCTTTCCCTTCCCTCGAACTGTCATCCTGTGTGTGCTCTAAGTACTTTCAGTTCCTTGATCCACAGCTTCTCCATTTGAACGAAAACATCTGAGAATTAGAGACAGTACGTCGCTCAGAGTTGAGCTGTAAGGGAAACAGTCGTTGTCCCTGAAAATTATTTGGAGATTATGGCTATTTGACTATACCTCCATCTAGAGTCATCCGTGGGACTACTGGCCTGAGAAGTGGCTAAGCATGGCCAAATCCTCGATGTGCCCGATAAACAACGCACAGTATTTAGTCTCCATCTGATTCACTCAAACACTAATCGAACATTTACTACCACATACTACAGTGAACATTTTTCATGCATTAATATTTACAATACTAGGCTGTGGGTACAATTACCCTCATTTTACAGATACGGAAACGGAGGCACAGAAGGACAAGTAACCTGCTCGAGGTGACACAGACAGCAAGCAGCAGAGCACAGGAGGCCTGGCTGCAGAGGCCACTCAGCCCCTAACCACACCGCCTCCGGTTCCCTCTTCTAGTTCTCACGTAAACACCTGAGCCAGGCGCTGTCAGCCTCCCTCTTCACAAGCCAGGAAACGAAGGCATGGAGAGGTCAAGTAAGGTGCCCATGGCTGCCCCACCAGCAGCAGGGGGGCTGGAGTCTGGCCCCGGAGCCTACACTTAGTCATCACGCTGCACGCCGCTCACAGCTGGGCGCCTGTCTAGTATGTGCCACGACTGGCTAGACATGTAGGACATCAATGTGACAAGCATGGTCCTGCCTCACGGCACTTGAAGTCTTGCGTGGGAATGGGACAAGTCGATCTGTCATCACACTCCAGTATGCTAAGCACTAGACGGGTGTGTGCAGAGGGACAGACGGAGCATAGGCGATGGCACTGATCCAGGTGCGAGGGAGGCAAGGGAAGACAGACAGACGAGACGCCTCACGAACAAGCAGCAGTGAGAGAACGTGGGAGGAGTTGGGAAGGAGGGGTGAAGGGCATTTCAAGGACAGGAGCAGTATGTCCGACACTATCAAGACAAGACAGTGCCAGCTGGAGCAAAGCATACAGGGAGGAAAGGCAGGCCGGAGAGGGGACGGAGGCATGAGGGCCCCGGGGGCTACACTCCAGGGCTGTACGAGGAGAGGAACCTCTTCTGCCCCCTCCAGGAGCCCGGGACAAAGGCTCCAGCTGTCTGAGCACCAGGACTGAGTGCACAGGGCAGTGCAGACTCCTCGGCTTCAGGTTGAGGCCCTTGCTTTTACCTTTTAATTCAATTATTAAAACTC